ATCCTCATCAAGTCGCTGTGGAATTTGAATTTAGTTCATGTATCTATCCAGTGGCATTTGAGTGACATGTTTATATACTCAAATTTATTAATAAAATATTATTTAAAAAATGGATCAATTTTTTATTAACAAACATTTAGCCACATAATCATATGATGGATAATTTTAATAAATTCAAAATATTGATAATGAAATTGATGATTGCTTTTTTTTGTTTTGTTTTTTTTTTGACGGAGACTTTTTTTTTTTTGTTAATTTATTATTATTTAGAAGACTATAACTCCTTCGATATTTCTTATCCAAAGTATAAAATTGAAAACATAATGTAACGTTAAAAAACAAAATAAAACATATAAAGTTGAAATATAAAAATCAGATTTATTGTTTATTTTAGGATAAATTGTAATTAGTAGCAAAAATATTTCATGTATTTCAAACAATGTCACAAGCTTTTCAAAATTTCAAATATAGCAAAATATTTGAATTTTTATTTTCGATTTTTTTATTATTCCAATTTTAACTTTACGATATCCAACATATATCATATCACTACTATTTATTCAATATTAATATTAATTAGATATTAAATATCAGGGATATAAACTGTTTAAATTTATAAAGTATATCAAAATTTTAACTTGTCTTTTTGGACGTGCATGGTCAACGTAAACCTTTTATATAATAATGTTATATTTCAAAAAAAAAATTTTGCATAATTGTTTTCATCTGAAAAAAATATTGGATATATTAGTATTATATCAACACACATGTATCGTAGTTATAATGGTTATATCATAAGTATATAAGTGATAAATTATAAGCATATTAAGTATATATCAGTGTTATATTAGTGGTAAATCATATGATCATATAAGAAGTTATATCAGTAGATACCATAGTTATATCAGTGGTATATCATTTGTATATCAATGGTAAATTAGATACATATCACATATATATGTGTTGTATCAGCATGGTAAATCAATGGTTATCATATGTATATTAGTGGTAGGACATGTTAGAAGTTTAGTAGATATCATGGTTATACCAGAAGTAAATCACTTGTATATCAATGGTATATCAGAGATATATATCAGTAGTCAGATATAATACATATATATATATCAGATATATTAAATGGTGAATTTGTAATTTTATAATTAGACATCTGTTTTTTCTGATAAAAAACATTATATTTGAAATAACTAAAACTTTTTGCTATATTTGCAAGTGCCCCTTTATTTTATATAAAAAAACTACTTCCTTGATTATTTTTAAACTAGTAGATAAGAAATATATAATTTAAAAATAATATCTAGGTGATAATCTACAGAACACTGTCAACTATTTATTTTATATATTTTATCTCTTGAATTTTATGTATCCGTCCCTTTCAGTTGTTAATCTTTTTAACTATAGTAGCAGCTAAGAGATATAACCGATAAATATCTAAATAATATTTTAATGTCAATACGTGGTTTGATTTTGTAAATAAAAGATAATAAGAGAGGATGTTTGTTCACGGACAGTGGACACCAACCCCATACCTCGTGTTTTTTGCTATTTTTCTTTTATATTTATCATTAAATCTTGGTTTTAAAGTAAAAAAGTAAATTTCTGATTTATTTGAAAAGGGAGGGAAAAACAAACCCTTCAACAAGCGCATCTCTATTTCCCTTTCCAAGTGAACAGTATAAAGCAGAAAAGAAAACAATTTCTGTTCACTTTCTCCCATATTGGAACGAACTTGAAGGAATCGGGACTCTGAATTTTACGCCTTCTCCGTCAACAAAGTATTCTGATTCAGACTCGGATCTTTAAAGCATCCAAAGATGATGTCCGCTCACTATTCCCGAACACACAGATTTCGTGTTACGTCGCCGAGGATTAATCCACAGGAAGTAACTGTTCAAGATTCCGAAGAACCTTCAATTGAAGAAATTTCAATCAGATTCACATACCAATGCAAATTCGTTCGTAAAAGATGCGCAGGAAGTCATTTGGAAGAAATGAACTTACACAAAAGATCTCATCCCAAAATTCCACTCCGATACCACAAATTGAGCGTCGGCGTCTTCAGAGAAGGGGACGATTCGCTCTTCAACTATCTTAAAGCGTGGCTATCGAGGTACGGACTCAATGATAACATCAAACCCATGGCCAATGCAATCATCCGTAAATGGATTGAGATCAAGGACGTCGTGTTGAGAACTTATGATCGGAAAGTGTTTCCGTTGTTCGTGGATTTGATTATAATAAACGAAGTAGTTGTTTGTGAGTTTTGCACTATATTGAGACAAATTGGGGCATCGCTGTTAGATTTACTCGACGAATTTTCCGACGAGGAAGAGAGGGATTACGGATGATCCCAGGGAACAGAACTAATTCTGATCAAGAAAGTGGGAAACGAGGAGGAAGAATACAGGATTAGAGGATTGGCAACTAGAATTGAGAACTGCCGCAATTTTCTTGGAGGAGATCAAAGAAGAGCATGTCGAAGTTCTGCAGATGTCATGTTCGCATATATTTTTGGGTTTTCTTGATGATCTTTTTCAATATTATTTTTACGAAATTACTCTCTTGACCTCGCTCTTCATCTTCCACTTTTGGAGCTTAATTTCTTCGATATTTCCATTCCACGTTACATAGTCGGATCAAGACCCGAGCTTAGGAATATCTTTCATAAATTGGAAATTTATCACAAACTTAATTTAATGTCGAAGCCTAATAGATTTGCTCGCCACAGTCGACGTACCAGAGACGACGAATTTCTTTGAAAACTTTCAAAAAGCCTCTACGATCCAATATATATATATATGTCTGATTTGTGAATAGAGAGAGAAGTGAGGAAAGAAGAGGATAAATATGAAAATAAAATATGCAAGATATTGACAGAAAAAAATAAAATCCTGATGTTCTCTCAACAGCGAAACGATTCTATTATTCCGATGTTTGGAAACGTAATTTCACGTGAGCAAAATGTTAGAAATTTTTATTTTAGATAGAGCAGGTTAAATCTTTAAGTCCGACCAAACAAAAATAACATTTATTTTTCATAGATGATGTATATAGAAGATGATCGGAAAAAGTCATTATTGTCTCATTTGTCACAGATGCCTACATAAAAAAATGTAGGATTATTTATTTATTTTGTTCCTTCTTGATTGGCCACTTTGATGTAAAGTTAGAAATTTAGACAAAAAGTAAAAAAAATTTAAAGTATAATGGTAAGTTTATATACACATCCCATATTTGTACACACAGGTGCAGTCATTTTTTGGATTATTCACCTCAATCTATAAAATTTATGGATCATTTCTTACTATTCTTTCTCGATTTGGGAAATAATTCTTGGACCATCCCATACCATTCTTCCTCAATTCGAAAAATAATTTTTGGAACTATCCCAAACCATCATTTCATTTTTCACATGGAAAACATTTTTTCGAACTATTATTTCTAGTTCCCTTCTGCTCCCTTTACAACATTATGGAAAAAATGGTAATTTTAAAAAAAATTGTATAATCGTTCCTATCTAAAAGTTTATTAGAAAATGACTGTTTTATATCATCTTGAACCACTTTTTCTTGGTTAAAAAATTGAATAAAAAGTTATATTTTAAAATCACTTTTTCAAACCTTGAAAAATGGTTTGGGACCATTAAAAAAATGTTTAATTTGAGAAGAGGATTCAAACAATAATTTTGTAAAGTTAAACATTCTTACAGTTGTTTATAACATAATCATAATAATAAATATTAGTTTTTAAAGAAAAAATTGAACATTTTAGAAGCAACAAATTTTTATTTTATTTTAAAAATATGCCAATACAATATTCTTCTTTAAAAAATTAGAACATTTTTAATAAGAAAGAAAAAAAATCTTAAGGGGAGGGGTATGATCGTCAACACAGGGCATTTTGCCTTACATTTTAAATCTGGGGTATTTTGACAAATATGAATATCACAAGGTTAATTACCCAAATCACAAGTTTTTTCCCTCCAAATTTGCTTCTCTCAGTCTCAGTTAGTTAGTAGTATTGTATCGGCGTCTGGCGCGCGCGCGCGCGCTCTTTCCTCTCTTTATTTGCTTCCGCTCGGCGATTTCTATCAGCCGTTCAAGTTTTCTCCGCACTGAACCGAAACTTGAACTGAATCGTAGCCTCTCGCTCCGTGAACCATCAAGGATGGAAGAGTACTTGCAGTACATGAAGACATTGCGCCTGCAAATGAACGGTACGTACCAGATCCTCCATCTCCATAAGACCAAATCCATGAATTAGCTTACAGAAATATATTTGCTATATTCTTTGCGGACAGTAACATTAACTTGGATTTTCTGTATCGAACTTGAATTAGACGTCGAGGATCAAGCTTCGAAGATCTCTGTCGAAGAGCACATGCTCTTTACTACTATTCAAACCATGGAGAACGATCTTATTTCTGGTCAAGTCTCTACTTCTTGTTCCTTGTTTGTGTATCCGAACGTTCTTCCTTTTGAATCGATTTAATATTTTAGCACGTTTTTCTTTACTGAGCTTTTGTAGATTCATTCTCTATTTGTTCCTAGATCGTCCTCAATTATGTTTGATTTGACTTCAGATTGTTTTAAGTATGTCTATTAAATTGACCAATCAGGACTGACTCGTCATTTTATTTACCTATGCTTATTACCTAATTCAATCCTGTTGGTATCTAGAAGTCTCTTAACATAATTTATAATCTTATATCGATGAATTTTTAAATGAAATTATATTTCTCGATCAATCACTTTTTGGCTTAACATACCTCCGATTTCTTTATTGGAGGCGCTTTCACTGTACTTTGCCTTGCAAATCCATTCGTTGTTTGTAGTTTTCAATTTTTCATGTAATGCTCTGATTAGCAGCTATTGCCGTTTGGTTACTTTCTACGGGAATTGTCGGCTGAATGAACTTGGATACTAATTCTTGCTTGTTCAGTAGTATGTTAGGCTGTAGGGCATGCGACTGCTTGTTGGCAGCGTTACTTCATCTGTTGTTAGCCCAATTTGGCAGCAGATTTAATTGTAGTTCCATATTCGTTTGGTCGTAAGACATTAATACTTCGAGTTAATTAAAAAATGTTTCTGAGTTGTTAGATTGAATGGCTAGTTTAGTTTGCTTTCCCTAAAGACGTCTGGATGCAGCAAAAAGTGAGTTAAAACAACTCAAAGAGGATGCTGAGCAAATGATGCGGGCAAAGGGCGAAATATGCTCCCAGATATTAGCAAAACAAAGAAAAATAGCCTCTTTGGAGTCTGACATATCTACACTTTCACAGGTGGTCTCTTCTCCGTACTTGTGTGCTGGTGCCTGCCTTGTATGCTTTCCCATGTGTAGGTCTAACAGCTGTTTAGCAACTGCTTTTGGTTAGTGTAAAAGGATCATGACGTAGCATCAACATGGAAAAGAATCGTCATTTCATAATTTCAAAGTGTTGACTAAAATGGAGAAAATATAACAAAAAGTTAATTTTCCCTCTCTTATTACAGCGTTAGTACCGAACATTCTTGTTAACTACAGTAAATACGAATGAATTTAGTGGTCATGAACTAAAAAGGGAAGTCATAAAAATTGCTCAAGTGCCGTGCTCATGAAAGGGAATGCTTTTGGTCCCTTCATAGTTGTTGTTTTTTTTTTTTTTGCCCTTTTTCCTCTCTTGGCTTTAGCCGATAAAATAAGTGAGTTTAGGCTTGATATTTAGCCCAACCCTTGTATATCTAATATAACAAAGAGCCAAAGAGTTTCTCTGATTACTTAATTGTCTAGTTCCCTTAATCTTCAAGAACAAAGGAAACTATTTTCTCCGGTTCCCTCATTCTCCTGTTTAGCAAGAGGGAAAAATATTTGTTCGGCTCCACTCCATAATGGATTTCAAAGAAAACTATTTTGTATCCGCCTCTGCTTGGCTAAATACTCTCAACTGTTTGACATTCAGACACTCGAGCTCATTCAACAAGAAAAGGTCAGTTTAGGCGCCAAAATCATTGAGAAGAGGTGAGTGAACCAAGTAATTTGGAATTTCTGGTTCTGCCAGTGATGCGTGATGTTATTAACAGTAGTATATTTGACCATGATAGTATTTATTATACCAAAGCTGCTGAGGAGATCAATCTGAAATTTCAAGATCTACAGGTTGAACTCCAAAACCTATGTCATATCAATTACGTGATCTAAGTCCATTATTCCAGTTTTAAAATATAGTCTATTATGCAAACTTTGGTGTAGGACTGGGTAAATGCTAACATGATTCGCAGAGAAGTGGAAGAGCACGAATTGGTATTCTCGCTATATCTCATCTCCTGCCTGTCAACTGTTTTCTCCGTCATGTTAGTAATTATGATATATTTCAGATGGCCTTTCATTTCACTCAATCATCCCAGTGATTCTTACCACCATTTTAATTTAATATCTATATATAGCAAACTAGATCTTCCGAGTCTGTCTAGCTTAACTTCTACAGCTCATATATGAATATTTTTCCTTCTCAATGTAGAAGCTTCCTAGGCCACTGTGTGTGAATTCCGCATTGTCATCGTGGGAGTCTCTATTAGAATTATCATGCTTAACACTCACCTTATTTTATGCTTCTAATGGAATTTTTATTGCATGTAATTATTTTGGCTCTGGATGATTGTTTCAAGGATATTAGTCCTTTATCACGACCTTTACTTTAATCATCCTCTTAGGTACTTAGTACTTATCGTAATTGTTTAAAATGGGAACTCATCAAACAATTTTGAGAGAAATAAACATTGGGGCCTCGTCTTTTTCAGTACAACATCACGAAGTAAATCATCAATCTAATTGATTGAGTGAAGATAGTTGAAGTATTCATTCTGGAAGCTTAGTCCTTACTTACCAAGCAAGTCTTTTGGAGTTCAAAGCTTGTGCTAGGGCCTGTCAATTTATATATACATAGTGTTGTATTTCCCTACGTGTAATAAGTTATTCCAACTCAACATAACTGATTAGATTCTATTTCAGGTTAAACTTGACACCGCTGAGCGAGCAAGTGAAACTGAAGGATCTTCTGATACAATTCGAGGTGCTTCTTGACCTCCTATCCCTATCTTCAAGTTTTTAATTGGCCATTATATGTACAATGGTTTACTTCAAAACAGTTATACATAGTTCTATCCTATTGCTAACTAGTTTTGCCCTTCAGATTGAGAATGATAAAGTCAAATCTTCATACATTTATCCAAAGCTTCTTAAAGTTCAAGGCTCTTTGAAATAATTTCTTTTAGTATTTGAGTCAGTTGGATTCAGGAAAGCCAACTGACATAAATAGAAATTTGATCAATAGCATGAAGTTCAAATAAAATTGAGCTTCCATATAACAATCTGGCTACTGTAGCATGAAATTCATACTAATTTTTTCTCATCCTCTCTTGTAGGGATCTCTGGCACTCAGATTTACTGCAATCCAAAAAATCTGGTATTAAACTCCAACCATGGATTGGCAAACGTGTTAAACATAATGTGTTGATTTAGTGTTGGTTTACAGGTGGAAGAGAAGAAAGATCTATTGGGCAAGTTGGAATCTGCTAAAGCCAAACTTAGTCAAGTTACGAAAATGAAATGTGCAGTTATTTTGGAGAATTCCAAGGTAATCAATGTCATCAAAGGATGTATGTACGATTCTAAGGAGAATGCTTTCATTTGCAAATATATAAAGGAAAAGAAAAGAGCGGCTAAGAAGATAGAAAATATTTTTTTTGTTTACTGTAGATTGTTAATTTGGGCCGGCGTCTATTTTTGTTTCAGATTGCACAGTCAATTGAGGAAGTTAAGAGCAGATTAAATGAGTTCGATGTTAGTGTACGTGGTGCAGATGACATTTACTCTATTTTGTAAATGAAGTTGTCTTTAGGCAGTCGAACTGATGGTGGTAACTAATAGCAGCAATACTGACAATATTTACAACAATTTATAATCTTGGAATCACGAGAACTGATGAGATCGCAATAGAAGACACTATTCAGCGCAAGTCATGAAATTATCTCTATGGGGATAATATCTGCTTTATGATCTATATTTATTATAATTCCTAATGCTACTGACTTACCTTTCTTTCCTAACTGCAACAGTAGTTTTTACAACCTAATTATGGGGGTTAGGTTTCAAAGAACAATCGATGATATCCCAAATCTTCTTCATGAAACATTTCAGAATCAGCCCGTTTTATTACAATATCATGTGTAATACTTTTGCCTGGCTTAAAACTTCAGCCAGAACTCAGGGAAATGGATGTCGTTACATTGGACGAAGAGTACAAGGCTCTCTTATCAGATAAAGCTGGAGAAACGGAGTACTCACAGTCCCTTCAAGACCAAATTGCAAAACTGAAGGTGAATTTAAAATTAGTGTTTTTTTTCTTAACGTTTAGAAGTTAACTGCGCCAAGGAATTTCTCTTTCTTCTTCTTCTTTTAATAAGAAACAGTTTTGTCGATCTTTTTAGGGAATTTCCCGTGTGATTAAATGCACTTGTGGAGAGGAATACAAGGCTGGAGTAGACCTATGTGGATGACGATGCAGGATTTTTATCATGAACAGAATTTGGAAGAGTAAGGAAGAAATCGAATAATGCTAACCACTATACAGGTGATTTAGGGAGGAATAGATGCTTGGTGGTCTTGTCTTAGAATCTGTCAAAACTTAACTTGTTGAACAGGTAATTGCTTTACTTGTTGCCACGTGTTATATTCTATTTTAATGTGAGTAATGTGCTTGATTCTAATTTTTTTTAGTTAAACAATACGTGGGAATGGGGATTCGAACCTCTGACCTCATGATTGACGATATTTTTTAACCAGTTGAATTATGCTCAGGCTGACACATGATTCTCGATCCTATTGTTGTGGAAAACATTGTTACTATTCCAGCCAATAAATAGTTCTGCTTAGTTCTTAATTCTTTTTCAATGCAAAACAACGACGTCAGATAAAATACTGAAATTGAACTATATTTACCGTGTCACCATTTGTGCACATTATTAACAACAGTTTGTTTTGAGAATTATTATATGACTGTTATTTTCCAGTCTCGTTTTTCTGTAATCAGAGTGAAATGTTGGAAAAAATGCACTTTATGAACCTTTTTTTTAGATAGGAAACTTTCTTTGTATATATCAAAAAAGGAGAAGACAGCCTAAAGGCTGGGTAGAGAAAACCCCACCTAAAAACTAAACAACCACTTTTCAATTGAACATGAACATGGAAAGGTTATAATTACAAAAGAATTTCCTGTAATTGATGCACCACCAAGAGACAGTGTACTGGATGCTATCCCCTTCGGTTCGTATTTTCTGCATGAAGTACAGTGAGAACATAGACCACATCTTCTTGCACGGCCTTTTCACGACCCAAGTTTGGTATTTCCTCCTAGATATTTTTGGGATTTAAACCTGAAGACTGGTTGGTTGAAGTTCTCCATGGGTGGAATCTCCCTAAGAAGACTAAGTTTCTTTGGAGTTGTCTCAAGAGCTCTCCTGTGACATCTTTTGCTTGAGAGGAATTCACGTATCTTTGAAGATAAGTCTACTACTTTTGAAACTTTATGAACCTTGTAAACAACTAATTGTATATTTTCTTAATATGAATATTGATGTTTCTTGCGAAAGGTTGAGTACATTCTTCTTATTATGGCAATCACATCTTCTTTTCCATTATTTACGTATGTGTCAACAGGACAGGAGGATAAGAAAATAGAGGGTATCTAATAGCTCTTGATCTCAGCAACATTTAGTGCTGCCGAAAGATCATGGATGCCATAAGTGTCCTCTAAACTGGAAATGTTAGGGCTATCACGTGAGAGTGTGACTATATCTTCCCTGTTAAAGCTGTCTTCAGTATGAAGAAGCTTTTCACTCCCATGCTCAACAGAACCTCTTAAAACAATGGTCTTGTGGAGGCCAGCCAGTAGGTTTTCATGATCTGTATCTCCTTTCTCCCCAATGAACACGACCATTTTTGATAGATCAATTCCCCATTTAATTGAAAGGTACCTACACAAAATAGCAGGCATTTAAGTAATTTTCTTCTGGCTCTTTATTTTCCTTCTTCTGTAATTATTTCTATGGTTATTCATTCATATAATATCATGATGACTCTCATCATCTTGTCGTCATTTTATTTTGTTTCCCGAGTATTTTTTGTGTCATAATGAAAGGAATTTAACCTTAGTGATTGTCTTCTTGATGCAAACAGTGGTTGCACGTTTAACCTCGATGCTGCTCGTACATAGACAATATTGCACCGGAATCCTCTCATCCGCAGCCGTTGGTGAAGGTCTTCAGTCTTCCTAATCTGCCAATTACATAAGGATTCTCATGAGAAAAATGCAGTTCTAGACCACAAATTCCACGTGTTCTAGGGTACACTAAAGCATATTTGGATTCTTACATTGGCAGTTGATTTGACACTATAGGAGCAGCACCTTGAACTCCATGCACCTACATGTTCCATTATGTCATCCTCATTCCCACCTTCCAACCTAGCAAGCCTGGTCACTGTCGATCTAACATTCTCTCCTGGCCATCTGTACTCGATGTGTGATTCATAATCTGTATCAGCTGCTCTGTCTCGCCATGGATAATACAGCTCACTTCCACTATTGCAAACCAATGCATCAAATTCTTCTAAGCTTACTTGGCAGCATTTCAGTGCCTCCATTGTTTCTCTTAAGCTTGATCCTGTTAAAAATACATAGCCTATCCTGCCCAAACCCAAAGCTGAGCCGGTTTGCATCACGTTCTTAATAGTTGATTGCAAGGTTTCAGTATACTCTCCGTTGCTATTGTAACAATCTGTGGCTATTACAAATAGCCCCTGCCTTCTACCTGGGTAATAACTTGCACTGTCATTGTAATTAGAGGAGACCATTCTTTTGGTAATTGCTTCAACAAGCTCCTTCTGTCTCATTGCATCATCAAGCTCTCCATTAAATTTGAATTCTCCTTCTACGGAGAATCTCAATGAAAGATCTTCTACATCCTTTAGGGAGTCACTCATGGGTTCTTCTGGAATTGGCGTGATCTCAAGGCGGGTGGTGGGATGGCGTTTACGACAGTGCTCAATGTGGGAGAGATAATTTTTACAGTGTTCTGTCCATGAAAATCGGTGTATGTTTTTAAGGCTGTTTTTCCGACACTCGGTCCATAGGTTTTTGTCAGCAACCAGTTTCAAAAGGGCATCTGCTATTGCTTTTTGATCATGTGGATCAACGAGGAGTCCATTGTGTAAGGCCTGAGAAGAAGATACTATTAGTTTGATTATTGATGATAATTACAGATCTCTGTAGAAGCAACGGGGATAAACATCACGTGGCATGAAACATGGTATTCAAGAACTTATTGAATGGTGTAGCTAAGGGGACTACAGATCCAGGCATACTCAGGGCAAGGTATTTGTTTGAAACGCCTACCTTCAAAATATCTACGGGACCTCCATTTTTTGTGGCAACAACAGGTAAGCCATAGGCAGCTGCCTGCAAAATTAGACATGGAATCAACCTGGAGATTAATTTATAAAGCAATTTTCTCCTAAATTTCATGTTTTAAAGCCCTATTTCTGAGTTTTAGGTTTCAATTAAACATTATTATGGGCCCTGGATGTCGAAAAAACTATTATAGGCCCTGGATGAAGTTCATTTTATTCTGTAAATAGAAGTGTGAACTTGTTACCTCGATGAGGGTGAGGCCAAAAGGTTCGACCAAAGCCGGGTTGATGAAAACTCCCTTCAAAAGACAATACCGAGGGGAACTATTAGAGTCTGAAGTACCCTTAAGAGAAGAACTTTAGCTTTAACTTCGACTATTGTATGATGTATAGGTTAGATATATTTTATTTCTGGTCAGGCTAGTTCTTGCAAACCTAGGCATACATTAAGTGGTAAACTTCTTTGTATTTGTCAGCAGGGACAATTTACCTTTGTCTTTGCTGCCAAACAATAAATTTGGTGAACTTCAGATTGTTTATGGTGCTTGGGGTAAGCAACTTGGCCGTATAAATCATACTTATCGAGGAGCTTAAGCACAGTTATCAAAACACTTGAGCTGTTAGTGGACATTTCTTCAATATCATCTCTGTTACCAAGAATCAGAACCTTCAACAAGAACAAAGAATCAACAGAAATTAGTCCTTATAGATGGCTCTAGGTCTGCATATGTGCAATAGGAGGAAGAATATTGTTACCAAGTTGGCCAACTCCCGCAGGGCTTGGCATTCTCCAAAAGCCTTAAGCAATGTGGTGACATTTTTCTTAGGGTCAGGACGGGATAATGCAAGTATCATTGGTTTGTGAGGATTTGTGAGAAATCTCATAATCTGCATCCAATTTGTTCAATGAGATTCACTGAAAAAATCTCCTCCTTTGCTTAAGAGAAGAAAGCTGAAAGTAATTGTATCAATCTTTATTATTGTTCATGAGATGTTGAAATCACTTTTTACTACTCCTAATTCAAGTTTTTCAGGAACAGTACAAAGGATGGAAAAAGAATGTGAAACCTCATTCCAGATCGGAGGTATGTTTCTATTGCTTTGAGCTCTGTCTGAACCGATCAATGACTTGAGGTCTCCGTCACCTTCTATTGAATCTTGTATCATAACATTGCTGAAGTCCATGCCTGGAGGTATAACCTAAGGACAGAAGATTATAAGTTTATGTTTTTGACAAAATTTTCCAACCAAAATTTCCTATTTTCTTTATACTATCTTCCAGAGGTAACAAATGACATAAAATAATTTGGGTCAGTGGCAATAATTCTTCTTTCTAAAGTAAGAAAAGAGCAAGCTTCAAGAGGTTGCATATATACCACCATCCTGGGCATGTATCTACCAAGGCAACTCACTCCTCGCTGCCTTCGAACCCTAAGCTTTCTCTCCAAGTTAAGGTCAAAACCGTCATACAGTCCCCATTGCTCCTCTATCTCTTGCCTTGTGCTAGTAACCACCATCTCAGAAGCGTCCAACCCCAACTCCTCTGCCCCAATTCTTCTCAAAATCTTATAGGTTGCATTGATATCCTCTCTTGACAACCTCCCTTGTTTAAGCAATTGTTCAAACTTGTTCCTGCCCAAAGAATGTCCTGTTAGCACCATTGGCACATTCAATGCCCCAGACAAGTGAGCAGCCACCTCTCCGGCATCTGCATAATGACCATGGATGACATAAGGCCAAGTTGGATTTCCTCCTGCAACTTGTTCACCCAAAGCTCTTGCCATGTTAACGATGTGGTTTAAAGCTCCGTCAACGAATTCAGGTATGTAAGGCCAGAGGGATTCTTTTGGGATGTATCTGTTACAAGATTTCCCTATGTGTTAATTGCCAGAATTAAAAGTTGAAATGTTGAGGGGGGAAAGGAGCAATATTTAGCACACACTTATCATGAGGTCCACATGGAATTCGAATAATATAGGCACCGCAGCTACCAGTTCCATCGGATGGGCATGACAACATCTCTATGGGCTCTCCATAACTAGAATCTACCTCAGGTGAGGAGATTTGTCTAGTTAGGAGATCAACACGGTGCACCCCTTTTGTGTTTGCTAAAGCTCGAGCAAGTTCAACCACATATTTGACCTGAAATTAGAGAGGCTACGAGTAAATTAGATAGATATGAGTTAAATGCTTTATATATGGTAAGCTTTGTCATGCAGGGCCTTTAATGCAGCTAGAACCACAAAAACGGCTCGTATACTCTCACACGTTGCAAATGAATATTTTTTAAGGAAGCCGCAGA